GTACGTAAAGTTGGAAACTTTACGTGTTATATCGGCCCTAGAAGCTCAGATCTATGAATTGGATGCACTGGAATCGATTAGAATCAACGGTATAGTGAAGACATGCATAGGACTCGACGAGTCGTTCATTGGACTCGGCGAGTCGGATCGCAAACCCTCGATTTTCCCGATTTGAGAGTTATGAGTTGAATCAGCGAGTGGAAGAGGACTCAGTGAGTTAGGACAAGGATCTGGAAGTAGAGGGACTCGACGAGTCTACGCCCCGACTCGACGAGTCGAGTCGTGAGTTGGAAAATTGTGAGTTAGGGAACTCGGCGAGTCCATAGTAGGACTCGGCGAGTAGAGTCAACCTGGAAGTTGACTCTGACCAGGACTTTGACTTTGACCAGGGGGTAAATTGGTTATTTACTCCATGAGGAATCATCAGTTGATTCAGAATGTTATGTGATTGTAGCCGGAGAGTTGCCGGAGCAGCAAACAGGGATTTCTCACTCGGGATATCAGCAGCCGGTTATACGAGGTGAGTTCTCCTTCAGTAGGAACGGGTCTACGGCACCAAGGCCGGCTCGTAGTATGATATGATAGTAGCTGAGTGTGGGCGGGGCCCTTATCCTATCTTAGCAGAGTGTGGGCGAGGCCCGTATCTTATAGTAGTAGTTGATTATGATGTATGAACAGTAGGTCAGTCTTACATGTTGTCTGTGTGATACTTGTATGTTGGGTTTAGTAGTTGAGTGTGGGCGAGGCCCGTATCTCGTCATAGCTGAGTGTGGGAGAGGCCCGTATCTCAAAGTAGCTGAGCATGGGCGAGGCCCGTACCTCAGAGATAGCGGAGTGTGGGCGAGGCCCGTATCTCCTAGACAGTGGAGTATGGGCGAGGCCCGTATCTCCTGGATAGCGGAGTGTGGGCGGGGCCCGTATCCCCCAGTTAGCGGAGTGTGGGCGAGGCCCGTATCTCCACGAGTGTAGGCGAGGCCCGTATCTCCTAGTTATATGCTATGTGTAGATGGTATGTGGTAGATTGGGGAGACTCACTAAGCTTCGTGCTTACGATTTTTAGTTTTGGTTTCAGGTACTTCCACTAGCACTGGGAAGGGCTCGGGATGATCGCATGGCACACATCACAGTCTTCAGCCTGGGAGTTAGACTCTGATATTTGGATATGATATTTTGACACGAGATTTGATATGTGACATTGTTATGATATTTTGAGACATACTACTCATGGTTTTTATTATGATATTGGATATTAGGGTTTTCACAATGAATTAAAAATGAAATTTTTAGACTGTATTTTTGGGATGTTACAATACATATAAACACATACAACACATTCAAGAGTCACACTTACAACTAGCATACAACTAACAATAATCGATGGGCCGACATTAGTGCCTTCGACCCACCAAACACTGGGAGGAGACTCACTTCATAGTCAAACGAAATAGCTGCAACCACACATTGCTCCAATAAATAATGATTAAAACTCAGAAAACAGCTCAAGATACCCAAAATACCCTTAGGTCAACTTTGTCAAAATCCTAGTCAATTCGAAAGTTAAGAAGTTAAAAGGTCAAAAGTCAGCAGAGTGGACTTAGCTGAGTACGCCCAACATACTCATCTTGTACGTTTGGCGTACTCATCTTGTACGTTTGGCGTACTTAAGATCCGCAATCGGGCCTCTCATTGTGTACGTGCAGCTTACGCGACTTAACACAAAACCATCCTAACTTCAAACGGTCATAACTTCTTCCTTTCAACTCCAATTTCGACGATCTTTATATCCACGAAAAGGTATTGAGGAGCTCTACAACCTTATCTAATTACTTTTAACTTAAAACACAATGAACTAAAATCCTTAATTCATAAAAGAAGTCTGAAACACCACTTTTCCAATTATACCATTGGGCTCCAAAACACAAATTGGATCACATAATCTACATTGCCCACATCCAAATGGGTCTAAACCTCTCCTTCCCCAAGGCCCGAATCCTTATGATAATTGATATTCGGGTTACGACCCCTAACTATGGAACGACTTGAAACAGGGTGTTACACTTCCATAAGAACCAAACCATGTCATAACAGATAGCGTTGAATATCCTCCTTTTTTTAGACAATGACCTCATGTGGGGTAAAATCTATTATATCAACCAAGGAGTTATCAAGCTCAAGATTGATACCACACCACTTCGTGATCCACTCCTTTGTGAATTTTTAATAATCACACCCAATGAAACTATGATGCACACACTCATGTGAGTTTTGACAGAATCCACAACATGGGGAAGGGACGAATATAGCTATTGGCGAGACTTTCTATTGTTGGAATCCTTCCCCATTTTGCCTTCCAAATAAAGCATAACACCTTCAATAGGACCTCCTTGATCGACTTAATTTTAGTACCTGTAATGGCAGGGGTATATTCCACCAACTTGCTACGAAGAGCCTTAACTATGTAAATACCATCTGGTGCAATCCCACAACGCTATCGATATTGTTCAGTGGTTAGGACAAAAGACCCTATTGTAGTTTCCAAGTGAGGTAGATTTCGAGGCAGGGACGACTCAAATGGACCAGCCTTCCAATCCTATGTAAATCCATCAGTTGTAATCCTATCACCCACCAAGAAAATTTTCTTTTTTTTCAAGATTACATAGATTTGGAAATCTAGATTTTAGATTAGCACCCCCCCCCCCATTCGTCATGCCAGAATAAAGTCTTATAACCTGAACCAACAGATTTGGAGCACATTATTGAATTCTAGTCCAACATTCTGTAGATCTGATGTTGTCCCAACAATGTTACTCCAAACCCTACTTATTGCCTTCCTAGGAGTAAATTACTGATATCGTCCCTATGGTTTTGCTCAAAATTGCACGTTTAGTCCCTAACTTTTATTTTGCACTCGGATCGTCCCCGTGGTTTGATTTTGTTATGTTTTTCGTCTTTATGGTTTGATCAAAATTGCACGTTTGGTCCCTAACTTTATGTATGTAAGGGACGAAAAATGCAACAATTCAAACCATAGGGACGATCCTAGTGCAAAAGAAAAGTTAGGGACCAAACGTGCAGTTTTTACCAAACCATAGGGACGATTTCAATAATTTGCAACAAAGTACCCACTAATTCCATTCGGTCGGTATAGGAGTATTGGACATTACGCAATAAATATCTTGTAAAATATTAGGGTTTTGTATTAGTTTTATCTCAAAATACACACCGAGTTTTAAAATTTGCAACGGAATACTCACTACTTCCATCCTGTTGGTATAGGTGCATTGGAATGGTATCCTTTCCTAAGTAGTGGAGGGTTCAAGTCCATAGCAGACAAAAGATAAACAAGTAGCAGTAGGATTAGTGAGGATGTGTCTGTGTGTTTCGGTTTTAAAAAACACTGATTCCATTCCGTGGCTAAACCAATAATCTCTCAAAAAAATTCTTTTAATTATATTAGAGTAACAATTACCATTTTTCTTACAAAAAGAAAACTTTTACTTCACATTTTGAAGTCAAAACGTCAATTGTGAACTCTTCGGAGACGAATGTAGTATATTGCTTTTTGTATTGAAGATGTTTTGTCTTCTGGAAAACATATAAATATTTATACCAATCCCTCAGTGACTATTTGAATCAAATTATGAAACCAGTCATGCATAGCGATTTGGCTACCCAAAAAACAAAAAACACAAAATCAACAATCTTGATTAGTTGCATCCAGAACTTTGGAATTTCCGACTGGTTTTGGTTCTTTTTGAATCTATGATTTAACAAGAAGATGAAAATCGTTACATATTTGCACCCTCACGAGTATACACTTTACTACAGCGAAAGTCTTAGTTCCAAATCCAATTCTTGACTGCCATTTGAATTAGAATTCTGAGAGATAGAGCCCATTGAGTCATTCCTAATCTTCAGCGAGTCCTATACATATGATATAAATTACAAAAAACATGTTATTATGCACAAAACAAATCATTAGTTTTGTAGAAACAAAGCAACATCTCGTTTTGCACCATGTACACTTACCTCTACTTCAACTTGAAAGAGGTGTCTAGTAATTCCTGGTTGGCCATAATGTTGAGCTTCAAATATAACATTGTTTACATTCCATCTGGTTCGAAGATGGTAGGTTTAAATTAATCAACAGCTGGAGATGTAAATTCTTGAAAAGAATTGACGTTCGTTTTCAAAGAAAAAATGGTACAATTTGGTGTAAGAAGGATTTTGAATTTATAGTTTTGTTATTCAAATGACAAGAAAGTTAATATATAAGTGTCATTTTGTTTATGGAGAAAATAAAGGCAATAATAGATTAACCTTTATAAAAACTATCAAGTAGACATATTAATTACGGAGATTACACCACCAAGTTGCTTTATTATAGTCTAATCGTGTCACAGATCTTAAAAATTCTTCATGTCTCTTGAAAGTATCAAGATTTTAGTTTGTTAACATGCACATAAACAGCATTTATGACAACTTTGAAATTAAGAAAATTTTAAACTAATTAAAATGTAGATTTTGTTTGAGAAGAGGGAGTACAGATTAAGTTATTAACTATCGACTTGGCAGTAATAAACAACCAAAAGAATAATACCTCGGGTCACTACTAAACTGTGCTTGACCATATATCGTGTTTGATCTTTCTAGTTCGCCCATAGCCATCTGCAAAACAATCGTAAATTTTAAAAAAAAATAAATAAAAGGAATGCGCCTAGTCTGTCAATAACAGTTTTCGCAAAAAATAATGTTGGATTTAAGCCATGACCTAAAAGCTCAATCTAGCAATGGCAAAGGACCAAAGGTACGGATCCCTAGGTCTTATATTATCAACTAAAAGGAATTTAAAAGGAGGAATTCGTCATATATAGTGATTATTTAGAAAATATGAGAATTATTTAGCACACACCATGATGTTTTGTTGTCCTTGTGAGGTGTTATATGTTGTCGATGATGATGTATATGAGAAAGAAGAGGGTGGCGAATATGCTGTTTGAATTCTGACATCCTCCTGCATATATATATACATACATTCAATCATACAATCTCCAACAAGAAGTTACGAAGTAGAGTAAAGAAACCTAAAGTGTTGTGTAGTTGGTCAACTAGAACCCATATGTCTGGAGTCCCAATCAAACCACCAGGTATCTCAAAGCTATCAGGCTTTGAATCCCGAGGCATGATCAGTTTGATCAAAACTACTCGCACAAGTCGTCTCATGAAAGTTGACTAAATGTGTAAGGTTGAGAGAGATGGGGCATACCTGTGGATGAAACCCCAATTGGCTATGGAGTCTAATCTTCTCTAACTGAGCAACACCAAGGCCTCTCTGGGGTTGTTTTGGTTTGTCTGAGTTACTCTTTTTGCCTTTTCTTGACGATGATCCACCTGCAGATCTCTCATTTCCTGAAGCACCTCTAAAATAATTCATATTGATGATATCTTTATGATCTCTTAAAATCTTTCTTGCTTGAGAATTAGACTTCCCTTCCTTCTTAATTCTTTAAATCTGTCAAATGATTTGGAGAAGATAGAGATCTCTCCCAAAACTGGTCCCCTTTTTAAAGCTGTTAAAAAACCTAAGTAATTAATGCATCGCTGGATATCAGATTGCATTTAGATATAGTATAAAATAGTATCTCCTCGTGATTTCTTTATATATTTAGGTAGATTTTATGCTCTTTTCCCACTCAAAATTAAAAGAACTTCTAGAAATATAATATTTTTAAATATATCTGGTTATGGACTCTCGGGGATAGACAAATAACACTTGATAGTGATTGTGTCAATAAGAACTCAATAAAATAGATGATATCATTGCAATAAAATAAGCAATCATGAAATATTGGGAATATCCC